GCAAAACTAGGCACAAGAGAGAACGGTGAGCTGAAAGTAGGGAAATTTGGAATAGGGCAACGGAACCCAAGGGGCCAGCAGCTGGCCGACTTCATGGAGAAAGAGGGACTCTTTATGATGAACTCTTTCTTCCAGAAGCGGCCCCACAGGAAGTGGACCTGGTCGAGCCCCGACGGTTCCACAAAAAATGAGATTGACTTCATTATGACGACCAGACGACAACTGTTCAGTGATGTCTCCGTGATCGCGAGGGTGAAAACTGGTAGCGATCACCGAATGGTTAGAGGCACACTGAACCTAAACGTTAAGTTGGAGAGGTCTCGTCTAATGAAGTCAACGCTCCGTCCCCCTCGTGCTCTGTTCCAAAGTCCCGAAACCTTTCAGCTCGAGTTACAAAACCGTTTTCAGTGCCTGGAAGACTGCAATGAAGTGGACGATATGAATGACAAGCTCGTGGAAACTGTCCATGCGGTTGGAGCTAAGTTCTGCAAGACCCGCCGCAGAAGAACACAAAAACTCTCCGATCACACTCTTAATCTCATGGCTGTTAGACGGGAGATGAAGCTACATTCTTCAACAGACTTGACAGCATACAGGCATCTGAACAGACAGATCTCCAAATGCATGCGGCGGGACTTACGCAACTTCAATACAGCTCGTATTGAAGAAGCGATCGAGCGGAACCAAGGCTCCAAAGTCTTTGCCAGAGATCTGTCTGCCAGAAAGAGCCAACTGTCAAAGCTGAAGACAGAATGTGGCAGCATCGTTTCCGGGACACCTGAGATTTTGAGTGAGATTGAGAGGTTCTATGGGCAGCTGTACACATCATCGTTGGAGCCACACGCAAGTGTGAGTAACGATCCAAGAGCGAGTCTCATCCGACACTATTCCGAAGATATCCCGGATGTCAGTCTGAGCGAGATTAGGATGGCTCTCCAGCACCTTAAAAACGGTAAGGCCCCAGGCGAGGATGGAATTACAGCGGAGCTTCTGAAAGCGGGTGGAAGACCGGTACTTGAAGTCCTTCAGAAGCTCTTTAATTCCGTCCTCCATGGTGGCATTACACCGGAGGCGTGGAGCAGAAGTGCGGTGGTCTTGTTCTTCAAGAAAGGTGACAACGATCTCTTGAAGAACTACAGACCGATTTCCCTTCTGAGCCGCGTCTACGTGCTGTTTTCGAGAGTCATTACGAATCGTCTCGCGCGCAGACTTGACGACTTCCAGCCTCCCGAACAAGCCGGTTTCCGAAAGGGCTTTAGCACCATAGACCACATACATACCCTGCGGCAAGTTGTACAGAAGTCCGAAGAGTACAATTTGCCACTATGTCTGGCGTATGTGGACTATGAGAAAGCCTTTGATTCCGTCGAAATTTGGGCGGTGCTGCAGTCCCTTCAGCGGTGCCAAGTTGACTGTCGGTATATCGAAGTGTTGAAGTGCTTGTACAGTAGGGCTACGATGGCTATCCGAGTACAGAACCAGAGTACGAAACCTATCCAATTGCAGAGAGGTGTAAGACAGGGTGACGTCATATCCCCGAAACTCTTCACCGCTGCATTGGAAGACGTTTTCAAGCTTCTGGACTGGAAAGGATACGGTATCAACATCAATGGCGAGTACATCACTCACCTTCGATTTGCCGACGATATAGTCCTTATGGCAGAATCGCTGTAGGACTGAAGCACTATGCTCAATGACCTCAATAGTGTTTCCCAACGGATAGGTCTCAAGATGAACATGGACAAAACTAAGATCATGTTTAATGTCCATGTCACACCTATGCCGGTAGTTGTTGGGAACACTAAGCTCGAAGTTGTTGACGAGTATGTTTACCTGGGACAAATAGTCCGACTGGGTAAGTCCAACTTCGACCGAGAGGTCAATCGACGGATTCAACTCGGCTGGGCAGCGTTCGGGAAGCTACGACACATCTTCTCGTCAGACATACCTCAAAACCTTAAAACGAAATTGTACAACCAGTGCGTGTTGCCAGTGATGACTTACGGAACTGAGACGTGGTCCTTCACTGCTGGCCGTATGAGGAAGCTCAAGGTCGCTCAGCGAGCTATGGAGAGGGCTATGCTCGGAGTTTCTCTGCGTGATAAACTTAGGAATGAGGATATCCGCAGTAGAACCAGAGTGACCGACATAGCCCAACGGATTAGTAAGCTGAAGTGGCAATGGGCCGGCCATATAGCTCGAAGAACCGACAACCGATGGGGAAGAAAGGTTCTCGAGTGGCAGCCTCGTACCGGTAGGCGAGGTGTAGGGCGTCCCCCCACGAGATGGAGTGACGACCTGGTAAGACATGCAGGAAGTCGATGGATGCAGGTGGCTCAGGACCGTGTTTTGTGGCATTCTTTGGGGGAGGCCTATGTTCAGCAGTGGACTTGTGAAGGGCTGTAATGATGATGATGATGATGATGATGATGAGCTCAAATTTGAAAAACATATCTCTGAGGTCGCAAGAAATTGTTTCTACCGATTAAAAATTCTTTATCAAATTAGGGATTCGCTACTAAGTACGAGTATTAGGATTCAGCTGGCTAATTCTCTGGTGCTGTCAAAATTTGACTACATGGATGTTGTTTACGGTCCTCGCTTACTCGCTCGAACAGAAAACACTATTCAGAGGATTCAAAACGCATATGTTCGGTTTGTCTTCAGTATACCACCCCGTACTAATGTCACACCTTTTCTTAATAATGCTACCATGATAAAAATGAAAGGTAGACGCAATCTGCATATGGCTTGTTTATTATTTAATTTATTAAAATATCATACTCCATCCTAATTCGCAAATAAACTTGCCCACTCCTGTGAGACACAAAAATATCAAACAAGGCGGTCTAAGTGGTCGTTAAAAGTTCCAAGCTGTCGAATTTAGTTATTTCGGGGTAGCTTTAGATACGCAGCCTCAAAATGCTGGAACGATTTACCACCCCCACTGCGTAGCTTGACATCATTATTGGTTTTTTGGAAAAAATACAAAATTCATGTTCTCGATATACAAAAACGTATATTGAGAACATGACTCATAATTAGCAAACTGGTACTCATAATTAGCAAACTCGTACTCATAATTAGCAAACGTCACATGTAGATTTTATTAAATTTTAGTAGTATATAATAGAAGTAGTAATAGTAGTAGATTTTATAGTTATTATATTGTTGGTATAATAATAATTTGCGATGTTATCATAAACTCTGCAAAATCTGCATCTCATTTTTTCATTTTTCTTTTTTACTCACTATGTGTTTATGTATGGTAGGTGCAACAAGTGTAGTGTCGTAATTAGGCTTGCCAACCGTCCCGGAATTTTCGGGACGTCCCACTTCTGGGTAAATTTTAGGCCGTCCCACCGTGACCGTGAAAAATTTTATGTTTATCATTTTCATTTACAATTATATATTTATACAGCCCAACCAGATTAGTAAACTATATAGATGCCCCAAATAATAATTTATTTCGATAACATATTGTCTACATTTACAGATAGTGATCGAAGACACCTTTTAAGCAAAAATCTTGCCTGTATTAGTTGCCTTCGCTCTTCCATAGCTACTAGTTAACATAAAGTTTATTATCTATAACAGTATTAGGGGTACATAAAAATATGAAAAATAAAAATTGTATGTGTGTGTGTGTGTGCGTGTGTGCTGTGTGTGGTGTGTGTGTGTGTGTGTGTGTGTGTGTGTGTGTGTGTGTGTGTGTGTGTGTGTGTGTGTGTGTGTTTGTGTTAAGTTATGCCGTGTGTCTAAGAATAATCTCTGTTTCCTCATAATCTAAAGGTATTAAATAGTTGTAACTATTTTTTTGCATTCGCGTAGTGTTTTATTATATATGTCTACGATTTTATTTACTTTATTATATAGATAGGCCGAACGACTGTTAAGTTGATTTTTAGCAAAGGCGGTTCTAGTTTTGGTAAGTGGAATAACATTTTTTTTTCTTCTAGCTGTAATATTGTCTGAGACATAAGGTGTAGTTTTATGTCTTTTTAATATTACGCTAAGAATGTACAGCTTTCTTACAGATAAGACCTTACAAACAGCGTATAAAGTGTGAGTTGGAAATCTTCTATGTTTAAAGAGCATCACTTTCAGTAAAGCACGTTGCGCACGTTCCACCTCAATCATTTTTGTTTTAACCGCTCCTCCCCAAATGGAAATGCAGTAAGTTAGATTGATTGCGCAAGTGAAGTGTAAATTTCTTTAAAAATATTCCTTCTGGGGCTATGATCAACCCCCCACCCCCCAGGCACTACATGTCTCAAGGACTTGAATATCCAGATCAATTTTCTTAATCTGGTAGAGACTAGTTCAATGTGTGAATGCCAAGAGAGCCGCTGGTCTATCATAACCCCCAGGTATTTCGTTTTATCAATTCTGTCTATAGCAGGACAATCACAGTTAGTGGGTTCAGTTTCAGGATTGCAAGAGTGAATTAATAGATTGAAGTTAGTGTCAGGTTGTGAATGATTTTGAATACTGTAACAGATGTAATTAGTTTTGGCTGTATTCAGGGTCAACACATTGTTTTTTAACCAGTTGTTAACCCTCGGCATGCCTGGTTGGGTCTGTGAGACCCACAGCAGCCGTTAAACCGTTATAATTCATTGTAATTTAAAATTCGCTCGCAACTGCTCTCAGTAGCTGACCGTAGTGAACTAATTGACGCCCTCCGCCCGCTACCTCAGTCCGGGGCGTGCTCCAGTAGTGAAAGGACGTGTCTAAAGTGCGCTCGGGTCTCGCAGACCCCACCAGGCATACGGCGTGACGTTTTCATGTAAGAATTCATTTGTTGCTATTAGTGGTTTTGTGTCGTTAATTTGTTAAAAATAAACATAATATTTTAAATAGTAACATATTTTATATATAATACTCGAGATTATTATTGTTTTAATTTGTCTTTTTACGAATTTGATGTATTTTATTCATAAAATTCTTTATTTTGTTTGGAATTCAACTTTATAGTATCATATTCTTTACAGTTCAAAATGGAGAGGTCCTTACAGGACAGGGAAATCGTTAGTTTGCTACTCGAAGAGGTGGACGAAGATCCCGAAGATGATATTGTATTCGACTCCAGCGACGAAGAGTCTGATGAGGTTACAGAAGAAACTTATGAAACCGACTCGATCGATTCGGAGGAAGACCTCTTCAAAATAGTTGATGATGAGAACTCTTCAGATTCTGAAATAGACGTGCCACTGTCAGAGTTAACTTCGCGGCCCTCAGGAAGAACTTACAAAGGTAAAGACGGAACTTTGTGGTACAAACTTCCAGCTAGATCAAACGTTCGAACACGTAGTGAAAATATAGTATCTGGAACACCGGGTGTCAAAATATTAGCGAGAGATGCAAAAACTCCTTTAGAGTGTTTCAATCTTTTTGTGGGCGAGTCTATGTTGCTGGATATACTAATTCATACAAATGTGAGAATCCGAAGAACGAGACTTGGTCTGAACACTTCAAATGACTACGCTTATGCAGAAGTTGGTATGGATGAGCTGAAGGCTGTCATTGGTCTAATTTACCTTGCGGGATTATATAAATCTGCAAGGCAGAATTTACAAGACTTGTGGTGTAATGATGGAACTGGTATTCCTATTTTTGCTATGACAATGAGCTTGAGAAGATTCATTTTTATTGTCAATCATTTGCGATTTGATGATGTTGATACACGTCAAGAAAGACTGTCACAGGACAGACTAGCCCCGTTCAGGAAACTGTTCGAAGAATTCGTTAGCAGATGCCAACAACACTACACGCCCTTTGAAAATTTGACTCTAGATGAAGAGCTTGTAGCTTTCCGTGGTCGCTGCAAATTTCGCCAATATTTGCCAAATAAACCAGGTAAATATGGAATAAAGATATTTGCGCTCGTAGATGCCAAAACATTCTACTCTCTGAATTTGGAGATTTATTTAGGCGAGCAACCAGAGGGACCTTATAAGGTCAGCAATAAGCCTCACGATGTAGTCGATCGCCTCGTCGCGCCAGTTTCTCAGTCAGGGAGAAATATCACGATGGACAACTGGTTTACGAGCTATCCAACATATGAACACTTGCTAAATCATCATAAGCTAACCGCTGTCGGTACAATGAAATCAAATAAAACTTGCATACCTGAAAAATTCAAAACAAATTCAACAATGTATTCATCACAGTTCGGATTTCAAAAAGATATGACTTTAGTATCATACGTCCCAAAACCTAGAAAAAAAGTGTTCCTGCTGTCATCTCTCCATCATGATGTGGAAATCGACCTGCAATCAGGCGAGAAGCAAAAACCAGCAGTTATTACATTCTATAACAAAACGAAAAGTGGTGTTCACAACGTTGACAAGCTTATTAGATCTTATGATGTATCAAGAAACTCCAGAAGATGGCCGCTCACTCTGTTTTTCTGGTTGCTGAACTCTGCAGGTATAAATGCAAAAATTATTCAAATGCTGAACTTCCCTGATATCAAAAACAATCGCCGAAATTTTATCAAAGATCTGGGTATCGCATTGATAGAATCTCATCTAAAAACAAGACAGAAAAATACTCGCCTTTCCACAGATCTCCGCAAACGAATTGCTGACCGTATTGGTCTCGACGAAGGTCCACCGGTGAAAAAAACAGCTCCAGGTGTAAGGCGTAGATGTTACGTTTGTACATCAAAGAAAGACCGTAAAACTCAATACTTCTGTGAGACGTGCAAAAGCCACGTGTGCCTAGATCATGCAATATTCCAGTGCGGAAATTGCTTCAAAGGCAATGTTCCTGAAAATGATGAAGACTAATTATTTTAGCTTAGAATATAAGATAACCTTATGTGCCTTATGATCCCCAAAGTCTGATTGTGATTTCTTTTGTTTTAGTTGATTTTGTATGTTTATGAAAATAAGATGTTTAATTATACGTTAAAAACGAGGTAAAAGTTTAATTAAAAATTCTATTAAAAATATTATTAATTTGAACACGTATTTTATTTGAAATCCTAAAAAACATGTTTAATTTTACTATAAAATCAAAAAATATACTACATTGATATCAATTTGTAGGAGAAAAAAAAATTTAAAATTTGGGTCTCACAGACCCACCAGGCACGCCATGTAACTTTTTTCCACCAGGCACGCCGAGGGTTAATCAAGTGCAGATCAGATTCAGCATTATTCTTCACATCAGCCCAGTTATTCCCAGAAAAAACTACTTCTGTATCATCGGCATAGGAAAAGATGTGCGCATGGTCAATTTTTAGATTACAGAGGTCGTTAATGTATATAAGAAAAAGGTTTGGTCCTAACACACTTCCCTGTGGTACACCATAGGATACAGCAACGTCTTCACTGATGTAATGACCCAATTTCACTCTTTGCATTCTATCAGAGAGATAACTCTTAAAGAGAGATAGCGCAACATCTCTGATACCTAATTGTTCTAGTTTTTGGACAAGAATAGGGATGAAAACGGTATCGAACGCTTTCCTGAGGTCCAAAAAAACAGTCAGACACTTGATCCCTTTATCCATATTCTCAGTAACTAGCTGGCTAAGAGCAGCTATTGCATCTTCAGTTGATCTGCCCTGTCTGAAGCCAAACTGTGACGTCGATAGAAGCCGAAATTTTTCTAAGTAATTTAATAATCTAGAATTCAAAAGTCTCTCAAGTATCTTTGAAATAGCTGGCAGTACCGAAATCGGCCTATAATTACCCACATCATCCCTGTCCCCACTCTTGTATACAGGAGTGACTACTGACTTTTTAGCGGGGCTGGAAAAACGCCCTGCTCAAAACATAAGTTAGCTAGGTGAGTAACTATAGGTACAATTTCGTTTTTTTACAAGTTTTAAGAACGTGATGGGAATTTTGTCCCAACCAGGAGCGCCATCTGATCTCAAGTTCATGAGTGTTCTTTCGACTTCTTTCACATCAGCTTGTAGCAAGACAAAGGAGTTGCATGTAGCAACAGTATTTCTGGTTCCGAGAATTAGATTAGAATTGCCACTAGGATTAATATTTTCGGCAAGATGCTCTCCTATTTTCGCAAAGTAATTGTTAATATGATTTGCAGATTCAGTTGGATCATTTTTCAGTTTGAGTAACACCTCACTTTCATCGTATGATTTATTGTTAAAGGTAATGGTTTTTATATTTTTCCATAGCAGTCTATTATTACTAACTGATTTAGTAAGCAAGTCCCTTTCGTATTTCCTTTTAAGTTTTTTAATAAGCTTATTACAGAAATTTCTATATCTAGTGTAGGTTATTTTTAATATTTCATTGTGACTCTCTTTTCGAAGCTGTTTTTGTAGTTTGTTACGATGTTTGATGCATCGTAAAATGCCGGGAGTAATCCACGGCTTTATTGTGCGCTGGCTTCTAGGAATCGAGATATTTATGGTATTCGAATTCAGTGATTCAGTGAGCATAGCTATCAGACGGTCAGATAAAGCCGTTGGATCACTATAAAGCAGTAATTCATTAATATTTTTTTGTTGGAGGTCCTTATGAGCTTTAATATAATCTGTTATAGTTTTTGTTTTATTAATAGACTTTAATAGTTTAGTCTTAGATAGAGAAAGAACGGTAGTAAAGTGATCTGTGATAGTGGTACGCAAAACTGCTATGAATGCTGAATGTTTATTCTTGTTAATCTTTAGCATAAAGTGATCTAGGCAGTTCTTCTCTCTAGTAGGTATAGTGTGACCCGCTAGTATACCATATGCTGAGAGAGCGTTCAAATAGTTAGTTCTATTTTTGTACTCATATGCCGGTTCAATAAGTTTGGGTGTAATATTAATGTTAATATCTCCCGTGATTATAATGTTATTTTGATTACTTAAGGTATCCAAGTGTGAACAAAGTGAGTCTATGAAATCATCAGCATATGTATTAGAAGGGGATCGATAAATACACAATATTGTGTTATTAAGTACGTCAAGCTGAAGACAAGAAGCGTGAGTAAGATTTATTTCCCTAACTTTTGGCTGTAAAGATTTTTTAATATAGGTAACTACACCATCATTCTGATTCAGATGGCGTGTCGTTGAATAAGAACTATAATTGAGTAGTTGTGGTACAGGTTTATTTGAGGTAAGTCTACATTCAGTCAGGATCAAAATATCCGCCTCAAAGGGAAGACTAGACAATGTCAACATCAAATCGTCAAAGTTGCTGTAAATACTACAGATGTTTTGGGAGATAATCACAAGACCGGATTCATAATTAATTTTATAAGATGGGAGCTCCGAACAGTCACACTCTATTGCACGAGAAATATCAATACCGTCTATCACATTCAAATTACAAAGTTGAGGATCACCCATTTGGTGTATAGAAAAATGCAAATATCGTTACTACAGGATTATAGCTAGTTATAATGATTTTAGTTATATGAGGAAGGTTTCGTTCTATCAGAATGAGGTAAAGATTTATTTCGTTTGGTGGTTGTGTGTATAGAGATTTGAATGAAGACTGTTGTAGAAGAATAAAGTATATGAGGATTTTTGAGTATATAATTGAGTCTGTAAAGTATGGTAGAAGAAATGTGTGACATATATTGGATTTTTATGCTTAATAATAATTCTAGAAGTTTTTACAAAGTGAAACAGAGAAAAAAAATACAAATAACACAATAAAAACAGATAATCAGGCAGAATAACAGAGTTTATCAGTTGGGTGAGCTTAGTAATAACAGTAATACCAAAGGTTGGCAGTACATGTTCAGATAGTCAGATTACTTGGGGTTCCTGCTGCTGGCTACCCAGAAGTTGGTGTACTTGACTTTCATTACGTATCATTATAATTGGAGAGTTTTCATTCTCTCTTACATATACTTTACCATAGGCGGTCCAGCAGAATTTATAGTTCTTTGACTTGGCCAGATCACGCGCCAAGAAATGTAAACGCGCTCCTTTAGGGGTTAGATGCTCGGACAGGAATATAGGGGTATCTTCTTGTGTTTTAAAGCCGAGATGTTTGGCACACAGCTTACATTTATGTTTGATATTAAATGATTTTGCTGCTTTTAGTAAATCATTCTTTAGTATGGTCGAACTCGTTTCCACTACAATGGTTTATTGTTAATGGACTTTGGCCGTACTCTGTAAATATCTTTAATATCCATTTTGGTGATATTGTAGTCCAGAGATTTGGAGAGAGTACTAACCATCTCAATAAGGTCTTCTTTTTTTCGTTAGGCTTTTTCGGAACATTTTTAATTTCGAAGCTCGACTTACGATTTTCCAATTGTAATTCTTCCATTTTATTCTCTAGAACAGTAATGTAATTCCTATCCTGCTTAACCTGTGTTTCAAGTTCGATTATTCGCTGCCTAAACTCCTCATTTTGTGCGGCTAAGAAAGAGACTGAGCTTTAAATGTTATTATTTGTCTGTTGTATCTCTTTAAGTACGGTATTTACTTGTTTAAGTTCATTGGTTTGGGAGGCAGAAAAAAATGTCATTAACCTACGCATTTCTTGTTTAAAATCATCCATTTGGTTAGACATCGAATCATCCAATTGGTCCCTGCGTCTCTTATTTCGTTGGGAAACAAAGTTTGGAGGCGTAATAAGCGAGAGATCCGTGTCAGAGGCAGTTCTGTTGAGTACAGTATCCGTATGTACTAAGGTAGCAGAGCTACTAGGAGATGTATTCGCCGCTGCTGATGTCACGGATGACGTAGCGTCGGGGCGTGTGGCCATATTGCCTCTAAGATGGCTTTAGTGCAGTGGTAGGTGGTGGTAGTAGCCCTTAATTGGGTGGCGATGCAATCGTGGGTGTGTGACTGTTGTTCAACACAAACAGTGACGATACGCTAACGCAGAATTGGTTGTAGTTATAGTTGCGTACAGCAGTAGGCGGAGTACAAAGTACTAGGCGCTCATAAAGTTGAAAGAGGTAGTAGAACTGTTTGCACCTTCTTAGACCGCTAATTGGGTGGCGTTGAAATGTGGGGGTGCGGTTGTTGCTCAACAAAAATGGTGCCAAAGCGATCGCACAGGAATGGTAGTAATTTATACTTGCGTCACAGCAGTAGGCGGAGCACGAAGTACCAGGCACTCAGGAAGTTCTGAGAGGTAGTAAAACTGTTTGCACCTTCAAGTTTATACACTCCTATTATTTTGTCCGAATTTAATAACACTGATTGCATTTTAATTTTTAATAAACGAATTTAAAATAGCACCAGAGACACAACTGTTCCTTACGGAGGTCCGAGGGAAGAGGATATAAGACAATCCATAACAGACCACATAAGCAAAAAATAAGACAATCCATAATAGACCATATTTTTTAATACTTTAATACTTTTGTACTCAAAATTGAAAGCCATTAATTGAAAACAAACACCAGCGCGAAATGTGTTACTGGGCGCATAAAAGTAACAGAAATGCACAGATACCAACTGCGGCATACTCTACATACCTACATATCTGTATATTTTCAACACTCAACTTAACATTGATTTTTATATTATGCCACAAAAAGGCGAATGTGATGGCCGTGTTGGCTATAAAAATGCACCAATTGAAATTAAGCCGACTTGAAGCTGATTAATATGATTTGATACACTAAGAAGAGAAAAGTTTAAACCGTCTTGAAAAGCAAAGAGTTTGATTGTTGCAACCTTTGACTTGTGCCTATTCCCATTGGAGACTTGTCAGCTTTCTTTTACAAAACACAGTTAAGTTGTTACATATTCACAGTAGATTTACACATTTTTTTTTGTTATTTTTATCGCTAATTGTGATAATGATTTTAATTTTAGGTAAGATTAGAAATTCGACTCAAAATCCTAATAAATATGTTAAGCGTAGGCCATACCAACTAAGCCCTTCTGAAAGAGGACTGGCTGGCTACTTTCGTCGGTTTATTCCGAATTTCGCTCGTATTATGATTCCCCTTTACGAACTAACCAAAGCCGGTGCTAGGTGGCAATGGACTCACAGACAAGAAGAGGCGCATAATAAGATCATTCATTATCGTACTTCATCTCCCTTATTGATGATATTTCGAGAAGACGCATCAATAGAGCTTTTCACTGACGCGAGTAGTCTAGGAGTAGGTGTAATACTTGCCTAAGCCAAGCCGACCAGGTGGCTTATTTTACCATGCGCACTACTGAAGCTGAAAGTAGGTACCACTCATATGAGTTGGCAACACTCGCCGTAGTTCGAGCAATTAAACAATTTCGTCATTTTCTCTACGGCAGACACTTTAAAGTAATAACTGACTGCAATGCACTTAAAGCCTTTAATCACAAACAGGAGCTTTTACCAAAAGTATATAGATTGTAGACATTCCTACAAAATTTCGATTTCGATATAGAATATCGAAAGGGTGAACGCATGCAACATGCAGATTTTTTTAGCCGAAATATAGAGACGCATGTTGTGAATATAATGACTAAAGAACTACAATGGCCAAAAGTAAAGCAACGTCGTGATGAAACACTGCGTTCTAAAATTGACTCCATATACAAAGGTGAGACTGTTAATAATTTTATATTTGAAGATGACCTTTTAAAGTACAGAATACGAGATGAAGTTCTAGGTGAGCAATACTTGGTTATAGTACCAAAATCATTCCAATGGAGTTTGATAAATGCATACTATTCTAGTTTGAAGCATCCTGGTTGGGAAAAAACAATGGCGAAGATAAGAGAGACTTACTGGTTTGACAGGATGAATACTACAGTTAGGGAGTTCGTTGATAATTGCATCATTATTTGTAGAACTTCAAAAAACACTTCAGGATCCCTTCAAGCTCAACTGCATCCCATCAAAAAATCCACTGTGCCATTTGAGATAATCCATATGGACATAACAGGAAAACTAGGTACATTACCCGAACAAGAGTATGTTGTAGTTACAATAGATGCATACACTAAATATATTTTGTTGCATCATGCTAACAATAAAAACCCTCAAAGTACTCTTGCAGCCCTAAAACAGATGATACACTTGTTTGGCAAACTAATCGTAGTAGATGGTGGGCGTGAGTTTCTAGGTGAATTTAAGAATTTTTGTAAAAGGTTTGGTTTAGTGATCCATTCTATAGCCCCTGGCGTGAGTAGAGCCAATGGGCAGGTTGAAAGAGTAATAGGAACCCTCAAAATGCTTTAACAGTGATAAAAAAAAAAAACCATGAAACCACTGACTGGCACACTGCTTTGGACAGTCTTCAACTCTCACTTAACTGCACAACGCACCGAACGACTGGTGTTGCACCGCTTACACTGCTTACGAAACGCCAGCATAGCGTACTACCCGAACTGGCAAACTTTTTGCATTTAGATGACATGTCAATAGATTATGAGGCCTTAGAGAGACATGTACAGCGTAGAATGACCGAAGCGGCAATAGAGTCCAAACAGAGATTTGATGCTAAAAAAAAAAACAGCAAAAATACTAAGATTTCAAAGGGGTGAATTTGTTTTAGTAAAGAATAATCGAAGAAACCAAACCTCTTTAGACCTAAAATTCAGTGCACCATATGAAATATTCAGGGTGCTGGACAATAACCGATACCTTATTAAACCAGTGATGGGACATGGTCGTCCACGAAAAGTTGCTCATGACCAGTTGCGACGGGTACCGCAACCTGGTGAGCTGACAGCCGTGTCGCCGAGGAACAACCAGCCTGTCAACGAGCCAATGAATGATGGTGGATCCCATGATTCGTTTTCCCCAAATAACTTGCAGCCTCAAAACCTGCAAAATGATGACAGTAATCTGGTGGTTAAGGGTGCTGGACCTTCGGTCAGAACAGATGCTACAAATTAAATGGTGAGAAGTATCCAAATTAACTGTAAGCTACTATCTATTATGATTATTCTTTTTATCAATTACATAGTTATAAACTAAACACAGTTACAGTTCGGCAGCTATTTGTCTTATGTGTGGCTACCAGTGCTCATAGAAAAATATTAAGCTTAGATAAATTCAATGAGCTAAAGAAAAAACGTGTGTTCCAAATGCCATTACCAAGCGTTCGCACAGCTTTCGCAAAACGATTTAATCCATTCATAGAAACACTCATATTTAACAAAGTTATGAAGGCATGCGACATAAGAGATTGCTCAACGAATACAGCTAGAAAGAAAATACGAAATTGGTTATTTACGCTTAATTATGAACAAACAGAGAAGCTGCTCCAAACATTGTCATAGTAGTTATGTGCCCAATATTGATATTTGATTGATATTGTTATTGTTATTAAAGTAGTAATTCAATATACTGTAATATTAACAAATTATATTATGTGTATGTATATACAGGGTGTTTTTGGAACGCTCCCGAAAACTAAGACAGGCGACAACACCAAGTATACCTTTGATCATGGGTTACAAACAAATTCGATCCTGATGAAAAAAAAATCATCTTTTTACAAGGTTTTATTAGCTTTATTCACGCGCCATCATGTTAGTACAGCTAAATGAAACGATAATTTCATAAAAAATATCATGAAAATACTGAAACATAAAACCAGCAGTGGAATGACTGAATTGATATCACCTGACCTGAGCTAGATAAAGGTCAATGTACGCGCGAACACAAATTCGCGCGGCCCGCAACTAGCGGGCCATCCCACAATATAATAATTTACAACACGTGTCTAAATACCTAACTTATCTACTTAACCTACTATTTTGCCACTGTGCTTATCTCCACGTAGCCACTTTAATCCGAATTTACAGGTTAAATAACCCAAATAACTGGTTCGATTCCCCGCTAATGAAGAAATACTTAAATGAAATGTAACCAAGGTTGGAGTCATGCGTTTTTATTCATCGTGTAGGTATGTTTATTATTCTCATGTATTCAGTTATGTATCTATTCAGATTAGTCTAGTACTAAGTTATTTAAAAAAAAAAAAGTTATGAAACAGCTTACTGCTCTAAATCCTCCGTGGTCTTATGAGATGCGGCTCAAATTGAGCTCCATTCATTTCAAGGCAGATTTGGGTGCAGGCGGGGCATCATCGTGTGGTCTTCGACACAGTCCGTACGTAGTTTCTCGAAAGCATCCACGATCCTTTGGCGCATTTCTTCAGCACTATCACATTCACGATTAAAAACCCTTTCTTTCACATACCCCACAAAAAGAAGTCTAACGGAGTCAGATCTGGTGAGCGAGGTGGGCAAGCGTGTGGTCCTAGTCTGCCGATCCAGCGATCATCAAATAGCTCATTGAGGCGCTCACGGACGAACCTCACGAAATGTGGAGGGGCACCATCATGTTGGAACTATGTGCGGCGATATTCAGCCAACGATAGGTCGTTTAAAATGTCAACCAACTGTTCATTTATAAAGTTTAGGTATCGCTGTCCGTTCAGTCGCTCTGGCAGAAACACTGGTCCCAGTATGCGATCCTTAAATAAACCTGCCCATACGTTAACCGACCATCGGGTTTGGTGCCCGGTTTGTCGAACAGCGTGCGGGTTAACCTCTGAATACACGTGTGTATTTCTTCGGTTCCACAGGCCGTTTCTGGTAAATGTCGACTCATCCGTCCAGATAATGTGCTCAATGGAACCAGGCACACGTTGTTGCTGGTATAATAACCAACGGCAGAAAACTCGTCGGCGGTCGTGATCGCCGGGAACTAAAGCTTGCACTTTGTGCAATTTGTATGGGCGCATTGGTTACGCTTCAACACTTTGTGCACTGCACAGTATGACACACTTGTTCCATCCCGACGTCTTAACAATTTATTTAGCGATACTTCGTGTACCTAGGTTCGGATACCTAACATGTTGACCACTATAAACGTACGCGTTAGGCATTATTAAAACAAAAAAGAATCCAAAAACGTAACAAAAACTTTAATATCAACACGTAATCACAAGTAAATTTATTAAACAAAACGATTGAACTGTCGCTCGCGCACGCGTGTACAAAATCAACACGGAACTGTCTCAAAAACTAAAACGAACGAACCCCGTCAAGGCTGAAACCTACTGCGTCACAAGCGTGAGGCGACAGGGTTAGGCATTCTGCCGTCATAATAAAAAAGGAAGTAACTAACAAAAACGTAAAATGGAAATAAAAAATAAATTGATGAATTTTTCTTTCAGACCCCGTGTCTAAAGTATATTAAAAGGTATCTATATTGAAATGTATACGTAGAGACATGAAGATTTTAAGGACGAACTTATTTTTTTTTTAAATTTGTTTATTTATTTAAATAAAACGAATTTTCCTTTTCATCTTAGATTAAAAAAGTACACCTGGCAACACAAAAACATCGAAGGAAAGACGCATATAACTATTTGGGTCTTCCCAACCTAATAAATAAAACAAAACTACCATTCATTTAACATTTTTACATATTTTGGAAAGGTCATTTGAAGTTGAAAGGACGCTAATAGTAATTTACTACTTTTTTCTTAGTAAATATTAGAAAAGCATTGGTATTGAGACACAAAAAATAACAACCCGCAACTCTTGAGTAATGATTTTAAAGGGGATATCATACAAGACTTACTACGATAATAATTAAAAATTAAAACATTTGTACAATCGACTTTAATATAAATAATTAAGGATAACTCAAAAACTATTGGTCTGACCTCGATCAAATTTATATGGGACCACATGTGAAACACCAGCTCTTAATAATAAGATATGAGCTCTTAATAATAAGATATAAAATAATAAGACAAGAATAATTTAAATTTAAGTAATCGATGCAAATATTGTTAAAGATGACGTAGCAACTGGTTAAATAAGTCTTTTCTTTTATGTTGAATTTGTATAAGTCTTTTCTACTAATAAAATGTCATCTGTGATCAACAGTCTAAAATTCTGACGATAATTTCTAAAATATTGATATTAGTGAATATTAAAAAAATTTAGTAGATGCGTCTTCTTATCATGAGTCGAATGGTAATTTATTCGAAAATTGTTAGATGCGCCCTTTTTTCTTATGACCGCAGCATTGTTTCATACCGAGCTAGATACAGGTCGACAGCGGAGTGAGTGTGGGTACAGTCGCGTTCTAAAGTACTACATGGTATTGGGCTATTGTTTTATAATCTTATAGTAATTGTTTTATTGTAGAATCATAATAGGTGTTTTACTAGCTACTTAGAACTTTGGAAGAGGTGGGAATTAAAAATAGATAATGTTTACTTGAGCATTGTTTGTTATTTCTATCGTAAAATATAAAGTAGTTTGTAACAAAAAAACTTAAGCTAAGGGTGACACGCCGTCCATTATGACGTCTTGGGTCACATGGAAGCCAGATGTTGATGGTGTGTTGGTGTTACTGGATGCTACTTCATCATCACTTTCATCTTCGCTTGAGCTTCCGTCATCAGGTCGATCACATGGTAATTTTTTCGGTATTCTTCCTCCACACTTTTAACTTTACTGCACAATTTTCCCCATTCACCTTCTCCTATCATATTTACCTTTTCGTTCACTAGTTTAGTCATAAAACAATAGATATAAATAATTTTTTTTCCTTCCTTTTTAAAACATCGTCGCGAGTCGCAAAGTAAGCTGTGTATGCGACTGTATTTTTGGAGCGAACAAAGCGCGGGAACCAATAGCATGCAGGCACAGTAATACTGGCCAATATGTGATAAATCGCTCAGTGCCCAAGTTCAAGGCCAGCGTTCTTTTTTCACCGTTCGCGCGTACATTAACCTCCATTAGTCAGGTGATATCAATTTAGTTTCCACTGCTGGTTTTATGTTTCAGTATTTTCATGATTTTTTTTATGAAATTATCGTTTCATTTAGCTGTACTAACATGATGGCGCGTGAATAAAGCTAATAAAACGTTGTAAAAATATGTTTTTTTTTTCATCAGGATCAAATTTATTTATGACCCATGATCAAAGGTATACTTGGTGCTGTCGCCTGTCTTAGTTTTCGGGAGCGTTCCAAAAATACCCTGTATATGTATGTATGTGTGTATATGTGTATATATATATATATATTTATATATATGTATGTGTGTATGTATGTATGTATGTTTGTGTATATATGTTTATATGGATGGCTATATGTATATGTGTGTGTATATGTGTTTAAGTATATATTTATGTTTACAGACTATAAATAAAATGAGGAAGACATTTAAAGTAAAGAAAGCTTTGTAAAGTCAGCCGTGCAC